CGAGGGAGAGTTGGCACCTATCTCTGCCAGAGAGTACTGTGACATGTGCTCTAACTTTCTGTCCCCAAAGTTTTCTTGTTGTAGGTGTGCTAAACATGGAAAGGATCCAGAGAACCTCTATGTGAGGAGTGACACAGTTCTAGACACCAGCGGTTCTGGAATGAGCTGTTTCCTGATCTCTGAAATCCTTCCACCAATCAGGATACCTCCTGCCTTGTGACAAGTGAATGTCAACTACAAGTTCATCTTGTCTTTTGAATCTTCTTTTAGACTGGCACTTTTGCTTGGTCTTTCTTCCTTTTGAAGTTCATGTGTTTTTTTTTTCAGTTTTATTTTATTTTTGGAGACGGGCTTGCTCTATTGCCCAGGCTGGAATGTAGTGGTGAGGTCATAGCTCACTGCATCTTCGAACTCCTAGGCTCCAAGTGATCCTTTAGTCTTAGCCTCCTGAGTAGCTGGGACTACAGGTGTGCACCACCATGCCTGGTTAAAGCTTGTGTTTGTTGAATATTGATTTGGTTATTGTCTTACTAAATTGTTACGGTTTTTTAAAAATAGGAGCTACATTGTTTATTTATATTACTGTTTAATACGTAATTTCATAGTGCTTAATAGCTATCAGTATTGAAATCCTGACCTCTACCACTTCCTGTAGTGTTGGGCAGCTTATTTTTTTGTTTTTTGAGACTAGTCTCACTCTATCACTTAGGCTGGCTGGAGTGTAGTGGCATGGTCACGGCTTACTGCAGCCTCAACCTCCTGGACTCAGACGATCTTTCTGCCTCAACCTCCCTAGTAACTGGAACTACAGGTGTGTGCTACCATGCTCAGCTAATTTTTTGATGTTTTGTAGAGATGTAGAGATGAGGTCTCACCAAGTTGCCCAGGCTAGTCTTGAACCCCTGGATTCAGGCAGTCCTCTCACCTCGGCCTCCCAAAGTGCTGGGATTGCAGGTGTGAGCCACCGTGCTCGGTCTAGGTATTTTTCAACTTAATAGGGATTATTTTGTTTTAGTTAAGTGAGATTATAGAATACAAAGGTTCTTTTATTTTAAAGTATTGTATAAGCAATGGAAAATATTTCTTTTTTGTTACTGTATTGAATGGGAAAAAGTACTCTGCTAACACTAGAACTTGGTTTAGCGAGGATGCTAAGTGGTCAGAGAATAACACAGTATATATAAAACCAAGGACTAGATTAATTAAATAATGATGTTACTCAAAAATAATTTTGATAGGTAAAGTGAACATACTTAGTTTTGCCTTCTCTTTCCACAAATATTTGGGACAATTGAGTGTCTACTCTGTGCCCATGCACAGTGTCAGGTCCTAGAGATTTGGTGAGAAGACAGTTACTTATTGGTCTGGGCACAGCGCTTCGTTAGAAGGCTAGTACACATATATTTGAAAAGTGCTTGTTCTACCTATCTCTGTTTGTAGCCAGAGTTTGATAATTCCTTCATCTCTGCTGAGAGTTTTGCCAGCTGTGTGTCATCTTCTGTTTCCAACTTCTTTTTCCTTCTTTGTTCAGTTCTGTGCTTAACTGTGAAAGTTCTGTATTGCAGAAGAATCTGAAGTGTGTCTGGGTGACCACCCGCCTTCCCCTCCTTTACGTCCTGCCCCTAGCCAGTTGCTTCTGTCACTAGAATATGACCCTGCCAGAGGTTTTTTCCCCATGAATTTACGTACACATTTATTTTTATTTTTATTTTTTTGAGTTGGAGTCTCACTCTGTTGCCCAGACTGGAGTGCAGTGGCTGCTCCTGGCCACCGCAGCCTCGACCTGCTGGGGTCTGGTGATCCTTCCGCCTCAGCCTTCCAAGTAGCTGGAACTACAGGTGCGTGCTACCACACCCAGCTAATTTTTGATTTTATTGTAGAGATGAGGTTTCACCAAGTTGCCCAGGCGGGTCTCGAACCCGCAAGCTCAGGCAATCCACTCGCCTCAGCCTCCCAAAGTGCTGGGATTACAGGCTGAGCCACCGAGCCCGGCTTTACGTACACATTTATATGCTTTTGGAAAAATATAGTATACATAGATGTTTGGGGTTTGTATAACACTGTAGTAGTAATATTCTTTGTGTTCTGTAGCTTTTTAAAGTTAACAGCGTATCTTATAGTTTTTTCATGTCGGTAAGGTCTATGTGTTAAAGTACCCTAACCTGTTCACTTTTTCTCATCTTTCCTCAACACCTTATTTTATAATGTCATCTCTCACTTGGGCCATTTCATGGCTACCTAGGTGGTTTCTTTGCTTCCGGTTTTGCCCTCTTACAGTCTGCTTCCCATGTAGCAGCCATTGTTCTTGTTTTTTTTTTTGAGTTGGATTCTCACTCCTTCGCCCAGACTGAAGTGCAGTGGCACGCTCCCAGCCACTGCAGCCTCTACCTGCTGGGCTCCGGCGATCCTTCCGTCTCAGCCTTCCAAGGAGCCGGAACTACAGGCGTGCTACCACACCTGGCTGATTTTTGATTTATTGTAGAGATGAGGTCTCGCCAAGTTGCCCAGGCGGGTCTTGAACCCGCAGACTCAGGCAATCTACTCACTCGGCCTCCTGAAGTGCTAGGATTACAGGCTGTGCCACCAAACCCGGCAGCAGCCAGTGTTCTTACTTAAAACCTGAAATTATGTCAGCTCTTCGCAAAACCACAACAGTGTTTCCTAAGGATCCCAACTCTTACCTTCTGAGTGTCTTCTTTCTGAGGGCAGAAATGTAGTTTTTTTTGTTTTTTTTTTCTTTTTTGAGTTGGAGTCTCACTCTGTCGCCCAGACTGGAGTGCAGTGGCCGCTCCCGGCCACTGCAGCCTCCACCTGCTGGGCTCCGGCGATCCTTCTGCCTCAGCCTTCCAAGTAGCTGGAATTACAGGCGCGTGCTACCACACCCGGCTCATTTTTTATTTATTGTAGAGATGCAGTCTCACCAAGTTGCCCAGGTGGGTCTCGAACCCGCAGGCTCAGGCAATCCACTCACCTCAGCCTCCCAAGGTGCAGGATTACAGGCTGAGCCACTGAGCCAGGCTCAGAAATGTAGTTTTGCTGAGTGGATTTTTTCCCTAGGTGCCTAAGTGTCTTGTGCATGCTCGGTGCTTTGTGAGCCTGTAGGATGTAATTCACAAAGCATGTGTGGGCCTTGATGAGTTGTCTTGTCCTGTGCCCGTTTATCTCATCTCACTCTCCACTTTCCCTGCTGCTTAGTCCTGCCACCTGTGCTTCACGCTGCTGCTTGCACCAGCTAGCCTCATCCCCTTCAGGCTTTGCAGGAGCTGTTTTCTTTGCCTGAAATATCCTTCCCCCATCTTCCCACAGCTGGACCTTTCTTGGCAGTTCATATTTCAGAGATGTATTCTCAAATAAGTGATGTCTTCTGGTCCAAAAGTTAAGAAAATGCTGTGAGATATCTAGTGAACAGTGTCTTCACCCATTGTCTGTCAGTCTCTTTATCCTTCTAGGGGCTCTTTAAGGCATTTAAAAACCAATCCTTAGGACACATTCAGCCACTGTCCCATTGCTGTTTCAGCTGACTGTCAGTATAAACCGAGACCAGTGTACACAAGCCACTTCATCTTCCCGTCTGTGCCATCTATAAGTTAACCTGTACTCACGTCATCTTTTCCCTCGGGCTGTTTCCTTCCCCACCATTTGGTCTATAAGGGCAACGTGATGTGTGTTCAGGATTAGAGCTATGACCTCCTGAGCCCATGATCTGATCTTCTCCATCTGCTCAAGAACCCGGTCCTGCAAGTTACTGTCTTAACTCTGCTGTTTTCTTTAGCTTCAGCACAGCCTGGCATATAGTAGGTGCTGAGAGAATATTCGCTGAATATAGCGGAATAATGAAGAACTTTAGACTCTTGAGTTTTAAAGGCCTGGGTATCCAGCCCAGCTGTGTGACTTGGGCTGCTTTACATTTCTAAAGCACACTTTCTTAATCTTTTAAAATGGGACAGAAATTATACCTAGATCAAAGGTTGTTTGGGATTTACCTAAGAAGTGGGTTCTTGCAGCTATCATAACAAATTATGACAAACTTGGTGGCTGAAAACGACAGAAATTTATTCTCTCACAGTTTAGAGACCAGAAGTCTGAAATTGGTTTCCCTGGCATCATGTCCGGGTGTCAGCAGAGCCAGGCTTCCTGCAGGGCTCTAAGGAAAGGCTCTCCCATCTCCACTCGGGAATGGCTGGCTCCTTGTGGCTGTATTGTGTCAGCCTTCTTCAGTTGGCCTCCATGGTCAGACTCCTCCGCCTTCTCTTCTGCCTCCCCCTTTTAAGGACACTGCGTTTAGGACCTGCCCAGATGTTTCCAAATCTCCTCTCTTAGCCTTAATCCTATCTGCAAAGACCCTGTCTCCGCATACAGTAACACTCATGAATTCAGGGATGGGGGAACTGGTACCACCGCAGCTGTTCTCTAGCCTTCTACGTGTGTGTGAAGGGTTTGTGCTTCCTGGATAGGGTCAAGAAAGATGAAAATGCTCAGATTTTATCATACAGAGACATGGGGAAGAATATGAGAATAAGAGATTAAGAGAAGATGAGGTAAGGGAAATTAGGGACTAGACCATATCATTTTATTGAATACAGTGAATACATGGGATACATGTATATTAAAGGGATTGTTTTTATTGTCAGATTTTCATTATTTTCCTGTTCCAATGTGTGGGTGGATTTATTTGTATTTTTAGTCTTAAAGTTTGTGGAGTAAATAGTGTGCTCTGGAAAGGAATATGTTGGTAATATGTTATATATGATTCCTGAAAATTAGATTATTGACTTTCTTGTTATCTGTAGTAGTTAACATGTAAATGAAGGAAATGTGAGTGAATGAGAAGCTTACAGATTGGTTACCCATATTTTCCGAATGTTAGATAGGAGTCATTCTAATTTAGAATTAAAAAGACCATAAAATACCTTTGAAAAAATGGCATCACCTAGGGTAACATAGAAAGTTGTATGCTGACACTTTTTTCTTTTTTCCATCTCCCTGACAGGTCCTTTGGCATGGACACAAGTTCAGTGGGAGGATTAGAACTGACTGATCAGACTCCTGCTTTGTTAGGGAGCTCGGCCATGGCGACTAGCCTCACGAATGTAGGAAATTCCTTTAGTGGTCCGACTAATCCTCTAGTGTCTAGATCTAATAAATTTCAGAACTCATCAGTGGAAGATGATGATGATGTTGTTTTTATCGAACCTGTACAAGCCCCCCCGCCCTCTGCACCAGTAGTAGCTGATCAAAGAACCATAGCACTGACATCATCAAAGAATGAAGAACTCCAAGGAAATGATCCTAAAACTCTTCCTTCTTCAAAAGAGTTGGCATCTCAGAAGGGAAGTGTCAGTGAGACAATTGTCATTGATGATGAAGAGGACATGGAAACAAATCAAGGGCAAGAGAAAAATTCCTCCAGTTTTATTGAACGGAGACCTCCTGAGACTAAAAACAGAACCAATGATGTGGATTTCTCCACTTCCAGTTTTTCAAGAAGTAAGGTAAATGCAGGAATGGGTAATAGTGGTATCACCACAGAACCAGACTCTGAAATTCAGATTGCTAATGTTACAACCTTAGAAACAGTTGTAAGCTCTGTGAATGATGGCCAATTAGAAAATACTGACGGGCGCGATATGAACTTAATGATTACACATGTAACATCCCTGCAGAATACCAACTTGGGAGATGTCTCTAACGGACTGCAGTCAAGTAATTTTGGTGTTAATATACAAACATACACCCCGTCTTTAACTTCACAGACCAAGACTGCAGTAGGACCTTTTAACCCTGGTAGGATGAGTGTGGCAGGAGACGTATTTCAGAACGGAGAGTCTGCAACTCATCATAATCCTGGTAAGCAGCAAGTGTTACTCTATCTCATGTAAATAGTTTAATCTTTTGGCTGATTCTTTTCCATTGTAGTAATTGGTGTACCCTTGATTTAATGTATGTGAAAATGTATTAATTCCGTTGGCTTTTTATCTTAAATTTGGAATTTTAACTGGTAAGAATTATAAAACCTCCAGGCGCGGTGGCTCATGCTTATAATCACAGCACTTTGGGAGGCCGAGGTGAGAGGATTGCCTGAACCCAGGGGTTCAAAACCAACCTGGACAACTTGGTGAGACCTCACCTCTACAATAAATCAGGAAAAATGAGCTGAGCGTGGTCATGCGCACCTGTAATTCTAGCTACTTGGAAGGGCGAGGTGGAAGGATTGAGCAGTGTGCCATTGCACTTCAGTTTGGGTGACAGAGTGAGACTCCAACTCAATTATAAAACCTGTATGGTGTTTACTCTGTGGATTATTAGAAAATTGACCACAAAGTGATTTATATCGGAAGGATTTAAGAAAGTAGTACTTTTTACATTCATCACCAAAGTCTGATAATTTGGGATCTTTTTGTCATGTATTATTTACTCACTTTTGCTAATAGATTTTTACTAGTATTTTAATATGTAAATTAGAGAACAAAAATATTAGTAACACACTTAAAGAACAATGAGTAGTGTATAATAGTTACCTTTAGGTTTGTTTCTATTTCCCTGGGTTTTTTTTTCATTTTTTATTTAAGAGCTGGCTAAGGTTTTTAAAAATTTTTCTATCTTACTTTTGAAGAAAGCCAAACATATCCACCTATGTTTCTTGTCTTCTTTTAAAATACTTTAAAGATAGGTTGGATATGCAGAAGCTATACATATTTCATGTACATAGCTTGATGAGTCCACGTGTTTATTTTTGACTGGCTATCTGATTTTAGCTTTTAGGTAGCATTTTGTTAAGTTTTTTATTTTTGAAGGTTGGTTGTTTTCTTGGATGAACTTTTTTTTCTAGGATAGCCTTACTCTGTGCAAACATTAAAATATGGAAGCCATGACGCTGACTCTCATGGTATGTCTGTGGTTGTCTTTCTGTTCACCTCTCTCCCCAGTCCTCGGGATGTGTGTCTCCTCTGTCCCTTTTTCTCTACTTTATTATTTCACCATGTTAGGCTCTTTATTGACTTTTTCAGCCTAGGAATTGTGGAATTGAATAATGTGGAATAACTAAAATCTAGGCAGTATAGAGTGCTTTATGGGCTGCTAGCTGTTTTTCTTATTTATCTGGAGTAGTGTCTGATTATTGAAGAATGTTCAGAAAAACCTATAGTTAAAAATGAGAGCCAGGTGCAATGATGTGAACCTGTCAAAGTGGGAGAATCCCTTGAGCCCAGGAGTTGGAGGCTGTAGTGTGCTGTGATCATGCCTGTGAATAGTCACTATACTCTAGCTTGGGCAGCATAACAAGATCCCATCTCTGGGAAAAAATCTTCTGTGGTCCTGCAAACTAATGATGATGACGGTCAATGCTTTGGGTGGTTGTCTTTCAATTTTGGGAGGAAGAGTTTTTTTTTTTTAACCTAGTTGAAATGCAGCTCTGTGTAGTTTTGCTCCCTGTTCTTTCCTAATTTTTTATGATACTGTATTTTCTCTTAACTATCATGTATGCAAGTTTTTTTTTTCTTTTTGAGTTGGAGTCTCAATCTGTTTCCCAGGCTAGAGTATAACTATCATTTATGCAAGTTTTAATGACTGCACCATGGGTATTGATGTATCATTCCCATATTTGGCCTTTACATTGTTTTCTGTATTTGGCTGTTGTAGGTCTATAATGAACATCTTTGTTCACATTTCTGACTACTTCCTTAGAATATATTCATAGAAGTTAAGTTAATGAGTTAAATGCTATGGTTACCTCCATTCTCCCCAATTTTCTTTTTTTGTTTTTGAAACAGGGTCTTGCTCTGTTGCACAGGCAGGAGTGCAGTGACAAGGTCACAGCTCACCTTGTCCATCTGGGCTCAGGTGATCCTTCCACTTCAGCCTCCTGAGTAGCTGTGACTATGGACACGTGCCACCACATCTGGCTAATTTAAAAAAAATTTTTTTTTTGTAGAGACGAGGTCTTGCTGTGTTGTATGTACAGTCTGGTCTCAAACTCCTGACACAAACAGTTCTCCTACCTTGGCCTCCCAATGTGCTGGGATTACAGGTGTGAGATACTGTGGCAGACCCAAGATATGTATATATATTTTGCTTTGGAGTCTCACTCTGTCGTCCAGTCTGGAGTGCAGTGGCATGCTCACAGCCACCACAGCCTCAGGTGATCCTTCAGCTTCAGCCTTCTAAGTAGCTGAAACTACAGGCACGTGCCACCACACCCATCTAATTTTTTGATTTATTGTAGAGATGAGGTCTCGCCAAATTGCCCAGGCAGGTCTCAAACCCGCGGACTCAGGCAATCCTCTCTGACCTCAGCCTCCCAAAGTACTGGGATTATAGGCATGAGTCACCATACCCAGTCTCAAGAATATTCTTAAGAGTTCTTTAGGAAAAACTGGAACTGAGCTAAATAAAGAATTGACATTTCACACATATATACCCAATAAGGACAGAAGCTCAGGACCTATTGTGTGGTAGTGAAAGGAAGGACAGCAAGAGAGAGGTGGCAGATCTGTGCCTCTGCTGTGAGTTCAGTAGAATTACATGTTCCATGAGTTAACAGATTGATTGGTGGCTGGCGCCTATAATTCCAGCACTTTGGGAGGCAGAGGTGAGAGGATTGCCTGAGTCTAGGGGTTTGAGACCAGTTTGGGAAACTTGGTGAGACTTTGTCTCTACAATTAAAAAAAAATAGCCAGATGTGGTGGTGCATGCCTGTAGTTCTAGCTACTTGGAAGGCTGAGGCGGAAGGATTGCCTGAGTCCAGCAGGTCGAGGCTGCCATGGCCATGAATGTGCCACTTGCACTCTAGCCTGGGCGACAGAGTGAGACCCTGACTCAAAAAAATTTTTTTGATTCTCAATGCTGGGGCACAGTGTTATTTTCTTCTTCATATTCTTCCATTTTTAATATATTTATAAGAAATACAAAATAGCTATTTTAAGACTAATTTGAGCACTATCTTTTTTAAAACTTTTATGTAAGCTGCAAGGTTACAATGAAAAACTAATATACCGCAGAAAACAATATGAATTCCTCAGAGCTTTCTAAAAAGCATTTATGACAATATATTTCTGTAAGTTGAATATGCTCATACAAATTCACACACACCCCCACACGCATATACCCACACCTCTACCTACCTACAAATACATATACATGTTAGAGAAGAGGCCTTGTAAGGAATAAGAAATTTCAGAACTGAGTAATGATGAACGTATTTCTTTTAAAACCACTGTAAACAAATATATATATATATATTTTGAGTTGGAGTCTCACTCTGTCGCCCAGACTAGAGTGCAGTGGCTGCTCCCGGCCACTGCAGCCTCGACCTGCTGGGCTCCAGTGATCCTTCCGTCTCAGCCTTCCGAGTAGCCGGAATTACAGGCATGTGCTACCACGCCCGGCTGATATTTTTGATTTATTGTAGAGATGAGGTCTCGCTGCCCAGGCGGGTCTTGAACCCGCGGGCTCAGGCAATCCACTCACCTCAGCCTCCCAAAGGCGCGGGATTACAGGCTGAGCCACCGAGCCTGGCTAACAAATATATATTTAAACCAAAACTCTTTGGGGAACTGGGCGTGATGGCTCACGTCTATAATCTCAGCACATTGGGAGGCCGAGGCAGGAGGATTGCCAGAATGAAAACCTGTCTCAAAAAAAAAAAGATTCTTCTGTGTGTATCTTGGGATCCTCATTTCTTTAGGACTATTGGTGGGTCAAAGGGATCATATCATTATAAGAATTGTGCTTCTATATTTTCAAACTCTTACATGAGGTAATGTAAGATACTCTTCAGAAAAGCTGTAGACAGACATATCTTGCTTTTTCACTTACCAGTTAGCTCTTGCATTTGTATGGTGTTTTTATTTGTAATATAGAATAATGAAGAGTTATAACAATTTGGCTATTTTTTTTTTTTTTTTTGAGTTGGGGTCTCACTCTGTTGTCCAGACTGGAGTGCGGTGGCCGCTCCCGGCCACTGCAGCCTCGGACCTGCTGGGGCTCCAGCGATCCTTCTGCCTCAACCTTCCAAGTATCTGGAATTACAGGCGTGCGCTACCACGCCCGGCTAATTTTTTTATTTATTGTAGAGATGAGGTCTCACCAAGTTTCCCAGGTGGGTCTTGAACCCCGCGGACTCAGGCAGTCCACTCACCTCAGCCTCCCAAGGCGCAGGATTATAGGATGAGCCACTGAGCCCGGCTAATTTGACTATTTTTATTGGTTCCTGGATTAATTGTGATGTGAGCAAATTTAACTGCTATCCTTTGATGTCTTTGTATGAAATTGAAAGTTTACACAAAATGATTAGGTCTCTTCTATTCCTAAAATTTTTTTAATTTGATGTTGGGGAAGAGAAAGTGTGAAAGTGGGGGAAATGTAAATTGAAAAAGAAAAGCACTGTTTTTTTTCAGTATCAAGGCAATAGATGCTCTTAAGTTTAAATAGAAAAAAAATCTAGTAAAATTCACCAAAGCATTGTGTTTAGGGCTGCTTTTGTGGGACAGATGAATGTCCAGGAATACCTGTAAAATGTGTAGGTGTGTGTGTGTGCCTGTGTTTGTGTGGAAAGTGTCTGGAGTCACAGCGAAATCTGGGGATCGGTAGGCTCCAGCTGCCACTGTCATTGGTTATTTTGCTGTTGAGACTCCTTCCACTTCTAATAAGATGGGTATTACATTTTTTTTTAGTTTTTGGTAATTTAATTCTTGTAAAGTGTTGTGGTACTAAAATTTTAAGTAGAAATTTTCTGTGCACCTGAGGGCCAGTTCACAGTTTGGAGTCCAAGTATGTAATTCTCATATAAGCTAATTTAATTAAAATTTTTAAATAGGCTCTTTTAAGTATGATTATAAGCCTACCAAATT